GGGAAGTATTCTGTACCAGGCTCTCAGAACCAGATAAACAGATGCTAGACTTAAATGATCTCTTCTTCACCTTTCACCTCATATAAGCTTTAGCAAGGATTTTCTCTGCGACCACAAGGGACTAGGGATTTTCACCCAAACTGTCATGTACCACTCACGGAAGCCCTACAATGGTGGAAGTTACGACTCCTGTTTTACAGTTAAGAGACTTGGGGTTCTGAGGCTCAGGGGAGTATGCAGGTCAAGGGCAAATGGAATGGTTGGCACATCCTCACTCTCTTCTTCATGCCTTAGGGGACACTAGTCCTTCCACTAACACAGCTACACCAACTGGTCACTTTTGCCATCCTCCATCCAGTTCTGCTTTGCCCAGTCCTGGGGTCTCCAGGCTAACTTGAGGACCTCCAGAGCCTTTAGAACTGCTCCAGTAGCTCTCCCACAGATACGACAGGTCTATACTTTCTCAAAGGTTCCAGCTCTAGCAGACTTCTGGGGATAAACTGGATTCTAGAAAAACTTTTTTTTTTGTTTTTTTTATTTGCAGGAAACTGGACATATCCTCCCACAGCTGATTTCTACTCCAATCTGAATCTCTAGTGTCTCAGAAATCAACATGTAGCCATTGGTTATCATCAGACAGCCTTCATAACAGAGCACCAGTGAATTCCCTGAGGCTTAGTATAATGTAAGCAAAAAGATAGTGGAAAAAAAAACCCATTGGCCAGGAAGACTACAGAACTGTATCATATACTCTAGATACAAGAACTTTACTTCTAACGGGTCAAATCCCTCCCCCTTCCAGTCTGCCACACTGTGCAGAGCTAAGTACTGATGAGAAGCTATCAGGAACATGGCCATGAAACTGATGTCATTCCATCTGCCTCTGCCAGTGTTATATAAGTAGCTTTGCTTTGGCCTCAGGCCCAAGTCCATTTGTTTTGAGCAAAATTTGAAAGAAAGTAACCTCGCCACACAACTACACAAAAGTATTCAAAACATTCAGGAACATGGGCTGCCTTGTAGCACAGGGTTTTTCTTCACCCAGCTTTCCATCATAAATATATAATATCATTAGTACCTGTGCTCAGTTTGACTAAAGAGAAAATATTGGGGAAAATGAGAAACTTTTCTATTTATTTATCAATTATTATTATTTTTTGTTGGTGATGGGGCTTGAACTAAGGACCTGGGCACTGTCCCGAGCTTTTTTGCTCAAGGCTAGTACTCTAGCACTTTAAGCCACAGCTCTTCTTCTGGATTTCTGATGGCTAATTGGAGATTAGAATCTCATGGAGCATTATTCACCATAGCTAAGATATGGAACCAACCCAGATGCCCCTCAGTAGATGAATGGATCAAGAAAATGTGGTATATATACACAATGGAATTCTATGCCTCCATCAGAAAGAATGGCATTGCCCCATTTGTTAGGAAATGGAAAGGCTTGGAAAAAATTATATTAAGTGAAGTAAGCCAGGCCCAAAGAAACATAGGTCCCATGGTTTCCCTTATTTGCAATATCTAGTATATGTCTGAGTCAAGCAGAAAAGGTCAGATAAGGTGATGTTAGGGAAATGAACCCTAAGATATGTATTCAAGTGTTTTTTCTTTCATGCGATTGTTTCTAACACATTTATAAGATTATTTCTTTGTTGCTTTGTATGTCCCTCCCCCACAATATAACCCCTGCTTTCACTGTATTTGATGTCGGCATAATTTGTGGAGGGGAAGGAAAAAACCAAATCGTTTGAATAGGGATACAGGTTGACCCATTGTAACAATGAGATGTACAAGTTGTTATGTCAAAAACGAACTTTACAACTTTGGGGGGGGCGGGAGGAGGACTCGGTGTGGGGGGATGGGGGAGGATGGGAAGGGATGTGAAGGGGAAACAATGAAGGAGGCTATAATACTTGATAAGAAATGTACTCATTATCCTGCCCATGTAATTGTAACCCCTCTGTACAGTATTTTCACAATTAAAAAAAAAAAAAAGGATCTCATGGGCCAGCGTTGGTGGCTCAGGCTTGTAATCCTAGCTACTCTGGAGGCTGAGATCTGAGGATCACAGTTTAAAGCAGCCAGGGCAGGAAAGTTTGTGAGACTCTTATCTCCAATACCAACAGAAAACCTGAAGAGCTAAAGGACAGCGCCCAGGTCCAGAGTTAAAGCCCCACCACCGCCCCCACCCCCCAAAAAAAGAATCTCATTGACTTTCCTGCCTGGGCTGATTTCGAACCTTGGTCCTCACATCTCAGCTTCCTGCATAGCTAGAATTATAATTATAGTCATGAGCCATCAGTGCCAGGCCATTTATCTATCCTCCCTTCCTTCCTCCCTTCCCTCCTTCCCTCCTTCCTTCCCTCCCTCCCTCGTTCCCTCCCTCGTTCCCTCCCTCCCTCCCTCTCTCCTTCCCTCCCTCCCTCCCTCCCTTCCTTTCTTCCTTCCTTCCTTCTTTCCATCTTTCCTTTCTTTTTGTAACAAAAGGAGTTTATACAACTGTGGAGAAAAAAGGGTTACAAAAAGAAAATGTTGCTAGGTGCCAGTGGCTCACATCTGTAATCCTAGTGACTCAAGAGACTGAGATCTGAGGATCAAGGTTCAAAGCTAGCCCAGGCAGACAAATCTGATAAACTTATCTTCAACTAACTAGAAAAATGCCAGAAATGAAGATATAGTTCAACTGTAGAGAGCCTGCAATGAGTGAAAAATCTAAGCAAGGCACAAAGCCTTGAGTTCAAAACCTAGTACACATGTATACACACACACACACACACACACACACACACACACACACACACGAAAATGAAAAAAAATTATAAAGTTGTGATTTACACTTGAAGGCAAAATAAACTCGTAAGGTTTATCTTACCCCTCTGAGAAAAGTAGAGATTTAAACCAGGAACAATTCAATTACATAAATATTTAGATTAGTATCACTGCTTTGCAAAGCACCAGGCAGATCTAGCTGTGGAAAGAGTGAGGTTATGAGACCACAGGGATCTTGAGACTGCAATTCTTCTGAGACTAAATACCGAGAACCCTTACCAGCTCCCCTCCCTGCATCAACTCTGAAGACTTACAGACCTGTTTGAATTGCTGCTACTTTGAAAATCTCTCAGCCAACATGCAGAGAGCAGGGGGCTCTCTCCCTTTCCAGTCTCTCTAAAATGAGAAAAGAAAAAAAACCCCAAACAACTGTGCTTCTTCACATTGCCAAAGTACAGTACTGTGCTTTCCTGACTTGTGAATTCTTATCTGTGTTTGTGTGCATGTGTGCACACGTGCACACACACACACCAAATCTAAGACTTGAACTCAGAGCCTGGCTCTGAACTCTTACCATTTTTGCTCAAGGTTGGTGCTCTACCATTTGAGCCACAGCTCCACTTCTGGCTTTTTGATGGTTGATTGGAGATAAGAGTCTCACAGACTTTCCTGCCTAAGCTAGCTTTGAACCTGATCCCTCAGATCTCAGCCTCTTAAGTGACTAGGATTAGAGGTATGAACCCTGGGTATCTGGCTGGCTCTGTGAGCTCTTCTTGTGCAAAGACTATTGCTATCTGCAGTGTTTTGCATCCTAGCCTAGATTCCTTTCCCTTTCCACACTTTGTGACCCCAGATTCTTGAGACCTTACCTTGAGACCTGCCTTTTCTCTTCTAGAGCTCTTAAGTTTTCCTAAGCCCCAATTTTTCTACAGTGTAACTGGATTCTTTTATGCTAGGCTTTTGCACAGGATTAAACTTGGGTGGTGGGCTGAATTTATACTTTTTTTATTACTATGTAAGCCTCTCTGCCCCTTTTCTAAAATTTAGCCCAACAAACAAGGCTTCACCTTTAATGCAGCATTGGGGAGTGCACATGAAACTTTCATGTGTTAAGAACATGCTCTCTTCCTCCCTCCCCCTCCCTCCTCTCTCCCTCCCCAACTCTCCTCCCTTCCTCCCCCTCCCTCCTCTCTCTCTCCTCCTCCTTCCCTTCCCTCTCTCCCTTTCTCTCTCCTTCCCTCCCTCTCGCTCTCTCTCTGTCCCCTCCCTCATCCTCCCCCACAGTACTGGGCTTGAACTTAGGGCCCCCCTTCACTTGGCTTTTTCACTCAAGGCTGGCATTCCACCTCTTAAGCCACACCTTCACTTGGATGTGGCTCAAATAGTAGAGTTCCAGGACTGCCAGGGCTGGCTTCAAACCACTGTTCTCAGATCTCAGCCTCCTAAGTAGCTCAGATTCACAGGAATGAGCCTTAGACATCCACCTCCTGTTATCTCTCAAAATCTCTGCTGTTAACCAGATTTTATTGAAATCATTTTGGTCTTCTCAGAAGTCTTTCTTTTCAGCCTATTCTGCAGGGACTGGTAATTACATGAATTTATTTATTAGCTGTCATGGGTTTTGAACTCAAGGGCCTGGGTGCTGTCCCTGGGCTTTTCTGCTCATGGCTAGAGCTCTATTACTTTTAGTTATTATGCCACTTCTGGTTTTCTGGTAGTTAATTGGAGCTAAGAGTCTCATGGCCTTTTCTGCCCAGGCTGGCTTTGAACCATGATCCTCAGATCTCAGCCTCCTGAGTAGCTAGGATTACAGGCCTGAGCCACTGGCACCCAACATCAAGAACTTTATATCATAGAGCCCATATGCTGTTCAAACGATGCTTTGTGATACAGAATTATTTTTATTTTATAGAGGAAGATACTGATGTTCAGACAGAGTTAGTAAGTGGCTCCAGGTCACACAGAAAGTAGTGGAGTGGAAATCGACCCGACGCTAAGAGTTTATCGGGCCTTGGCTTTCAAGGTCAAGATGTTCTAACATCCATCAGAATTTCCTCTGGGGCTTGGTGACTTGGATGATTCACTCGACTTCTTGTACATTCGGGTTCCTTTCCATAAAGGTAACGAACATTGAGAGGGATGAGTGTGGGACACTGGTACGCGGTGCCCTGGCTGCCCCCCTCCAGCGGGTCTCTCTCTAGACTCCCACCCCGGAGGGAGCTTCTCCTTACCATGGCATCGTAGCGCAGGGCGTTCATGAAGTGCGCCACCTCGGCGCCTTTGTACACGGTGAACCAGATGGTGCCCTGGTACTGGTCTCCAGCGTCGAGCAGCAGCACGTTGGCCTCGGCGCGGCGGATCTGCTCCACCTTGGTGAAGAGCCGCGCCGCGCCCCCCACGCACAGGCTGGCGTTGTTGCACTTGGTGGAGTCCTCGCTGGTCTGCTCCAGCCGGCTGTGCACGTCGTTGGTGTGCAGGATCGTCAGCTCCCAGGCGCCGACCGCGGCCGCGCTCAGCGCTACGAGCAGCAGCCGGGGCGCTGGTGCTGGCGCGGCCCGGGGACACATGGCAGCGGCGCGTGGAGC